ATCTATGGTCCAGTCAATGTGGCGGGGTTCTATGGTCCAGTCAATGATGCGAGGAACTATGGTCCAGTCAATGTGGCGGGGATCTATGGTCCAGTCAATGTAGCGGGGTTCTATGGTCCAGTCAATGGGGCAGGGATCTATGGTCCAGTCAATGTGGCGGGGATCTTTGGTCAAGTCAATGGGGCGGGGATATATGGTCGAGTCAATGTGGTGGAGATACATGGTTCAGTCAATGTGGCGAGGATCTATGGTCCAGTCAATGTGGCGGGGATCTATGGTCCAGTCTCTGTGGCGGGGATCTATGGTCCAGTCAATGTAGCGGGGATCTATGGTCCAGTCAATGTAGCGGGGATCTATGGTCCAATCAATGTGGCGGGGATAAATGGTCCAGTCAATGTGGCGGGGATATATGGTGCAGTCAATATGGCGGGGATCTATAGTCCAGTCAATGTGGCGGGGATAAATGGTCCAGTCAATGGGGCCAAGATCTATGGTCCAATCAATGTGGCGGGGATCTTTGGTCCAGGCAATTAGGCGGGGATCTATGGTCCAGTCAATATTGCGAGGATTTATGGTCCAATCAATGTGACGGGGTTCTATTTTCCAGACGATGGGGCGGGGATCTATAGTCCAGTCAATGTGGCGGGGATCTATGGTCAAGCCAATGGGGCGGGGATATATGGTCCAGGCAATTAGGCGGGGATCTAGGGTCCAGTCAATGTGGCGGAGATCTAAGGGCCAGTCAATGTTGCGAGAATCTATGGTCCAATCCATGTGGCTGGGATCTATCTATGCTCAAGTCCATTTGGCGGGGATCTATCGTCCAGTCAATGTGGTGGGGATCTATGGTCCAGTCAAAGTGGTGGGGTTCTATGGTCCAGTCAATGTGGCGGTGTTCTATGGTCAAGTCAATATAGCGGTGATCTATGGTCCTGTCAATGTGGCGGGGATCTATTGTCCAGTCAATGTGACGGGGTTCTATGGTCCAGTCAATGTGGCGGATATATATGGTTCTGTCAATGTGGCCGGGTTCTATGGTCCTGTTGATGTGGTTGGGAACTATGATTCAGTCAATGTGGCGGGGTTCTATGGTCCAGTCAATGTGGCGATGATCTATGGTCCAGTCAATGTGACGGGGTTCTATGGTCCAGTCAATGTGGGCGGGATATATGGTTGGTCCAGTCAATGTGGCGATGATCTTCCAGTCAATATGGCGGGGTTCTATGGTCCAGTCAATGTGGCGGGGGTCTATGGTCCAGTCAATGTGGCGGTGATCTATGGTTCATTCCATGTGGCGGGGATCTATGGTCTAGTCAATGTGACGGGATTCTATGGTCCAGTCAGTGTGGCAGGCTTCTATGGTCCAGTCAATGTGGCGGGGTTCTATTGTCCAGTCAATGTGGCGGGGATCTATGGTCCAGTCAATGTGGCGGGGATCTATAATCCAGTCATTGTGGCGGGGTTCTATGGTCCAGTCAATGTGGCGAAGATCTATGGTCCAGTCAATGTGGCGGGGGTCTATGGTCCAGTCAATGTGGCGGGGATCTATGGTCCAGTCAATGTGGCGGGTTTCTATGGTCCAGTCAATGTGGCGTGGATCTATGGTCCATTCCATGTGGCGGGGATCTATGGTCTAGTCAACTTGGCGGGATTCTATGGTCCAGTCAGTGTGGCCGGGTTCTTTGGTCCTGTCAATGTGGCAGGGTTCTATTGTCCAGTCAATGTGGT